TTGATTCATTGACTGGGGTAATCGGGATGGGTGTGTCAGAGACAGTGCAATTGGCACAGGACAGAGCAGAGTTTATGGCTATTGTACATAGGGTCACTATGAGTCGCAAGCGACTCAACAGCACATAACAACAACACTGATTTGTAATTATTAAATGTATCATTGACCATTAGAGGTCAGTTTGTCTCTAATAGTTGTTATAATTCAGTTTTGCTGTTTGAAGATAAACAAAGATCTTAATTTTTAGTACAACAAATGGTTCTTCATATAAGTTCACATTTTCGCCTCAGATGCTTGTTTGTACCTATGTGCAGTAGGAGAAATGTGTTTTGATTCACAGTTCTGAGATATGCCACAATGTGGACTGGCTTGAAGGTAATTGCTTGAAGGTAGCTCTTACTCAAATGTCAAAGTTTAAAAAAGGTCTAATGCTTTTGTTACTAGCTTTTGTTGAGTCCTATCTATTCTTGACCTATAGAGTCCACAAGACTGGATCATTGTGATCCACAGGGTTTTTATTGTCTGCTTTTGGGGAGCAGGTCACCAAGCCATCCTCCTCCTTGTTCTTAGTCTGGAAGTTCTGCTGAAACCTGTTTATTGTAGCTGTATGCAAGCTCCCATTGATTGACAGGCTGGACTTGAGGAACACTTGCCAGGGAGCCTAATAGAAGGTGAGAATTCTACTAGAACACCATTGCCCTCTCTTAGAGGATATTGTTGTTATATGCCATCGAGTCAGAACCAACTCATAGCTGACCCTCCAGTGGACTTAAACAAGTTGTAAATCAAGGAAGTTGAGCAGCCGGAAGATTCCGACCACCTGCCTTTGGATTGGCAGCACCAACTCCTTCCCCACTAGGCCACTAGAGTTTCCTGGTGAAGCATATAGCTTCATTTAAATATCCTCTAGTAGTTACGTTGCCTCAAAGTTCCTAACTGTATTTGCTTAGCAGAATATCAAGTACCAAAATAGAATTTAATTATTTTTAAATTTTCCACACACTCATGAACAAAACATACAGAAGCATACTATCAATTCCTGTGTTTCATATGCATACCTAAGCATATATAGTACATTGACCAAATTCAATCTTATTTTAAAAACATATTAAAAATACACAATTTTTAAATGTTAGAAGAATAAAGGTACAATAGTCATTAATTATTTTTCTGATTACATTAAGATATTCTTCAGTGGCGACTCAGTTTATAAAATGAGAATATCATAAAATTTACAGGTATATATCTCTTAGTTAAAGTAAAAGAATAACTTACCTCATTTGTACTTCCCTGTAGCAAAGGCAGTTTTTTTAAAAAGGGGAAAAAAAGAATGTATATATATCTTGCTTAAGAAATAACATTACAATATTCAGCATTGTTTACAATTACTTGTATTAAGAACAAATATTTTCTACAGGCTTTTCATCTTAGATTATATATTTCATGAAAATCTCCTGACAAACCCATTTCTATATTATTGGCTGCAGCAGCATATTCTAGAAGGACTGAGATATACCTCAGTAGAGACTAGAAGTCATCCTTTGCCTCTTGGGGCACTATTTAAGATAGTGGCTCAGATGATTGGATTTCTAGTCGTTTTTCCCCATAGTGCTATCAACGAGGCTCTTAATAATTACAATTCACCACCTACACCTCATTTAAAAAACTACCCCATTATCTAATACTATGTATTTCTACAACTTTGGGGGAAAAAACCTCATGCACTACGTCTAATGGTCCATATCCCATTCAGGGCTTCAGGACCATCCTGAATGGTAATAAAGAAGGCTTCAGCAATGGCCATGATGGCTCAGTTCAGTCACAGAGGGGATAGGTAAATGGCAGAACCATGGAAGCTCGTAAATGGACAGGGAGAAGCAAAGAAAAGGTCCAAATGTGCCTGGAGATTAGTGTGGGGGGAGGGAGGAAAGAAAAGGGGGCTAGCTTCGTGTCTAGGGCAGACAAAGTGAAGGTGAATGGAGCTTTACTCAGGGCAGGCCTAGCCACCACCACTCCAATATCTGTGGGCTTCCCAGCAGTGGGGAAGATATAGTGGTGATGGGGATCTGCTGGACTGTGCACATCCTAAGATGCAGCAGGGGCACCTGACAGAAAGTGATGGGAGTGAGGGAGATACTGTGCTGGAAATGGAGCATGGCTCCCTTCTTTTACATAATGCCAGTTTTACATAGCAACGTGGTGTCTAGAACCTAATCATGCCAGAAAGTAAAGAATAGGTATAAAGAATATATTTAAGTATACTTTTAATGCTGAGAGAATTACAATTACTTGTTAGTAGCATACAATAAAAGTTGAAAAATCTTATAGCCAAAATTTGATAAAGAATCTCAACTTGTTTGTTGTTTTTTTTTTAAATCCTCCTATATTTTCATGAAATAACAATATATTTCCAGAGTGATATTGTTCTGTGGGTATTTATACCTGCCTACCCTTCTAGGCTCTTGGCTGGACAACAGATCATGATGTCTTGACTCTCTGTTACATGGATCGATACTTAGGTCAGAAGGAACCCCTTTCCTATGGACAGCTAGTTAAGCGGTGGTTGTTCATTGATTCCTGCTTAATACAAAACTCTAGCTCGAATGAGAAAATCCAAAGCAATCATCCACTGCTTTCAAGAATTGAACTAAATTACTTGTTGATAGAATGATGAATGTCAGTGATTCATATAAGTTAATAAAGTCAGTGCTAGTCAGGTTATTCTTCTAATACAATCAGCTAAATATAAATTTTTCTGATTTAGTTTAAGTCTTAAGATTATTAGGATAAGAAAATTAATACTACTACTTCATTCTTTTTTAAAGAATATTAAATCATTAATGGAAAAATTCTTGAAGGCTAGAGCTTAATTCACATTCCTCTCTATATTCATCTAGTTCAGTGCCTGGTACACAACTGTGATGAACTAAGAGGATTAAAAGTATTCTTACCTGGTCCCATAGGGCTGCAGCCACCTGGTCTATGACTGCTCCCAGCTCTCGGTATTCTCCAGAGTACCGGATATATGCCCAAGTGCAGAGAGTGATAAGGGTCAGTCCCATTATCATATTGCATAGGCTAGCTATGATGTCCAAACCAATGAATCCAGTCACACCAGCAATCACATAGGTGATAAAGATGACAACAAACAATGTGGCGGGTGTACGAGCCGCATGGAAGATATTTTTACTGTCATTGTGCTTGATATACTGAATGTAAAGTTCATCTATCTCACTTTCCAATTGCTGCAGGTAACGTCGGCTAAATTCTTCTCCACCCATCTTCTTCACCCCTCGGAACAGCTTCACAGATTCTTCTTTAAGCTCCAAATGTTTGGTCTGCAAGTCACTAGGGGCCAAAAATGGTTTGTCTCCACCACAAATCTGTATTAAAGAAGTATTTTTTTAATGTACTAATACTGTGTGAGCAAAACAGCATTATTAATTTTGTCAATACATATTTTTTCAGCCATGATTTCTACAAAAAGTGGCTAAAGTGGAATTGACATTTTATAGGTGACATATCAAGTCACTTACTTCCTTATTTACATGGGAAATAATATCCATGACTTAATCTCATTCTTTAAGATGAAAATACCTGATAAAAAATTGAAGTGCAAACCAAGTTCATTCCCAGAATAAGTCCAAATTCAAGAAAACTTAAGATTCCCCTAGGAAAGTTCCAGCTACACTGAAGTATGGTGACCAAAAGAAGTTTAGTTTAAAACAATGAACTCTCAAAGTAAACTTGACATAATCTATCTTTGATACTTTCACTAATTCAGCTTTATTTTCTTTTAAAGTAAAAGCACATTAAGTGTTTTTGGACACATTTTCAATTTTTAATAGGCAATTCTATTAACCACAGCATTTACATTGGTTATTTGAGATTTAGATCCATTCCAGTGACTACACTGTCATATATCAGCTTTGACATGTTAAATTCCTCATTTGAATTCTATAAATGTGATCTTTGTCTTTGGGGTTGGAAACATTAAGAATGGTGACATTAGCAGTTTATATACTACAGCACTGTTAAGTGCCACTTAGTCTACAATTCGTAGCAACCCTATGAACAACAGATCTGTCCTTTGCTATTTCCTACACTGTCATGATCATCTACTCGTGAGCACATCCAACGCTGCACTTGTTAGTAGTTGATATTCCATCAATTCCAGGAGCCTTATTTTTTGTCAATTCCTTAAGCGCAGCTTGGACTTCTTCATTATCATTGGCTTTTAATCATATGTTATTTCCTGAAATGGTTAATTGCTGACCAATTCTTTCTGGTACAGGATTTCTGTGTCCTTCCATCTTTTTATATGCTTTCTGCAGCATTCAAGATTTTGTCCATAAAATCCTTTAGTATTGCAACTCAAGGCTTGAATTTGATTTTCAACTTTTTCAATCTGAGAAATACCAAGCTTGTTCTCCCCTTTTTATTTTCCTAGCTTTAGGTCTTTGCATATTTCATTATGATGCTTTGCTTTGTCTTCTCAAGTTACACTTAGAAATCCTGTCTTCGTTGCTCTCCATTATTTCTTCCCCTTGTTTTGCCCTCTTCATGTTCGAGTGCAAGTGTCAGAACCTCTTCTGACATCCTTTTGGTCTTTTCTTTCTTTACTATCTTTGTAATGAATGACCTTTCCCTTTCCTCAAGGATAATGTCCTTGGTGTCATCCCACAATTCATCTGATCTTTGTTCATTAGTGCTTAATGCATCAGATCTATTCTTGAGATGGTTTTTAAATGAAGTTGGGATATACTCAAGGTTATGTTTTGGTTCTCATGGCCTTGTTTTCACTTTCTTCAATTTGAACTTGTAGGTAAGTAGCTCATGGTCTGTTCCATCCATACTTAGCACCTGGCCTTGACTTGATCACTGCTGTTGAGTTTCATAAAAATTCTTTCCATAGATACAGTCAATCTTGATTCCTGTGCAGTCCAACAGGTAATTTCTGTGTGGATAATCACACTTTATGTTTTTTAAGGAGATTGCAATGAATAATTTCTTGTATAAAATTTTATCACATGATCTCTAGCCTCATTTCTGTTACCAAGGCTCTATTTCCCAACTTTTTGTTAGGTGCCATCGAGTTGAGTACAACTCATAGTGACCCTATGAACAACAGACCTGAACCCTATCCTATCCTGTGCCATTCTTATCATCTCAGACACACTTGAGTTCACTGCTGCAGTCACTGTGACAGTCCATCTGGTTGAAGGTCTTCCTCTCTTTGGCTGACTTCCGCCTTTCCAAGCATGATGTCCCTTTTCCAAGCCTCTCCTAGCAACATGCCCAAAGTATGTGAGATGAAGATTTGCCGTCCTTGCCTCCAAGGAGCACTCTGGCTGTACTTTTTCCAAGAGATTTCTGTTGTTCTTTTGACAGTCCATAGGCTATTCAGTATTTTTACCCTACATCACAACTCTAAAGGCATCAATTATTCTGTCATCCTTATTTATTGTCCAACTCTCTAATGTGTAGCTAGTGACTGAAAAGACTGTAATCTGCATCAGGGGCACCTTATTCTTCAAACTGACACCATTCCTCTTCAGCATTTTGGAGATCTGACAGCAGACTTTGTCAATGCCATATGTTCCCTGATTTTCTGATTACTGATACCAAGGGTGCTGATTATCAATCCAAGTAAAAGGAAATAGTTGACAATTTCAATCCTTTCTCCATCTCTCATGATGTTTCCTCTTGGCCTAGTGGTGAGGATGTTTGTTTTCATGAGGTGAAATCCATATTGAAGGCAGTAGTCTTTGATCTTCTGCAGCAAACTTTTCAAGTCGTCCTCACTTTCAGCAGGCAAGGTTGTGTCATCTGCAACACCAGTCCTTTTTCCCCAACTTTTACGTACCATTTACCAATTACTAATCCATCTTGATTGCACATTTGGTCAATTTAAGGTTGCAAAAGCTGGTAGAAATGTTCATTTTTTTTTCTTTAGCCTTCATGGTTGGAGTGTGTATTTGAATAACAGTTGTGGATAATATCCTATTATGGTATTCTACTTCAAGATCTTGAAATGCTCTTTTCATGTGTAAATAAATGTGACATAATTTCTCTTCAATTTATTCTTCCCAGATAACAGTCCATAACAGCTCATGGACTACCAAAAGAACAAACAAGTCTGTCTTGGAGGAAGTGCAACCAAGGTACTTCTTAGAGGCAAGGATGATGAAACTTCATCTCATATACTTTGGGCATGTCAGTAGAGGCCAGTCCTTGGAAAAAGACATCATGCTGGAACAAATCGAAATTTCAGGGAAACATACAAAAATTCTAAATAAAATGAATTTTGTTTAGAAATCAATAACTACAGTGACTATAATAATGTGCTTTTGTGTGGAAGAGATTGTGAAGATGGTGCCTGATATGCTAAGGTTTCAGTCTAGTGTTCATAGGGTTGCTGCATGTTGTAGCTCATTCAATAGCATGTAACAACAATAAACATAAAGCTGAGAAAGAATAAAGACACATTGCTTTTCCATGTGTATACAAGTATGATTGGGGGAAAATTGTAAATTCATTCAGTAAAAACTAATTTTATTTGAAAGATTACTTAAAATAAGTCATTTTTACCTCTTCCATTTTTTTGTTGTAAGTATCCTTGGCAGTTGCCACTGCTGCCAAATTGTTAGCTTCTGCTGTGGCCTTTGGACAAAGTATAAAATAGGATATTAAAAAACAGTTGATTTACTAAACTTCCACAGGCAGTTCTTATTTCAGATCTTCATGAACAAGAAACGTTAAAAAAAACCAAGGTCATCAGATAATTTGAAACTGTTGAAGCATTTCTACATTTAAACATATTAATAAAGTTGGCATTTCAAAACATATAAAACATGGAGTTTCACTCAGTTCTATTTTGAGGATTTTTTTGTCCTTTAAAAAATGTTTAACTCCGCACTAAATGCAAAATATAATACTAATAACTATAAACCCAAAACATGGGAAGCTATAGTAAATTTATACAAAGGATGTATATGTCCTCAATGTAAGGGTACTGCTGATAGTTCATTATATCACTCATGGAAAAAAATATTTTTAAGTTAGAGAAATTTCCAAAAGTATGTAAGGGAAAATTTTGTTTTTCTTTTTTAATTTGAATGTTTGAAACCTGGGCCTGCCCTTTTGACTTCTTGACACCTGTTTGAATCCAAATCACAGTATGAGTCTATTTTATAAACAAATTTATTACAAATATAATTTAACCTCTTTAGTTTAAAGGATTCATATTTCAGTACAAATGCAGTTACTATAGGTGTATGTGAAAAATGTTTATTGAGTTGAACATGCAAAATGGGTAAAAATGAAAATCATCTAATAACTCTCTGTCTAGTATTTGCATATATTTCTTTTTAAACATAGTCAGTGCATATATGATACAAGTATCAAAGCTTAGCTTTCGTGACAATATGTTTTAATTAGTACCTGCAGCATGGATTTGGGATGTGGTAATTCTTCACCTTGATAGATCTTTATGTAAGCCTTTTAAAAAAAAGAAGATTCATGTTCAAAATAATCCTTTCAATATATCTCTGTTAAATTATATTCTAAGGACTTGACAATTAAAAAAAAATCATTATAATGATTTTTCTTTCAACTTTAATTTCATTCTTTATTTGCTCATAACTGTTTTCTTGAAATGCCTTTTTCACATGTCTCCATCTGCCAGTCCTACCAATTCTAAAAGCTCAGGTCATTGCCGTGTCTTAAAACTCTCACATCCCTTTTCTAAGAGTATTCTCCCTCTTTTTGCATTACCCACCAGAATTTGTCCATTACTGGTATTATAACCTTTAAGGAACAGATTTGTATAAAGGTCCTCCAGAGCATTATACATCACTGGAAATTATACTGAAATAAATAAAATGTCATTTATTTCTGAGAGTGATTAAGATAAGCAGGAGTCATATTATGGCATTTTAAATAACAAACATGAATTTAAAAAACTGACATTTTAGTCTTTGTAATATTGATACACAAATTAGGGTGGCAACTAAAATTCTCTATTATAAATGCAGGTTAATGTAAGTGTTAGATGCTACTGTACTTTTCTATCTGAGATAAACTATTAAAAGCAAATTTAACATAATTTTACTTCAGATTGGCTCTTAGCTCAGAAAAAAAGTAAATATGGAATAATTTTCTCCAGTCCAAGTATAGCTCCTTTGGTAAAATCTTTAGAGGAAGGTAAAACTCATGACTAGGATTTACATGGCATGTAGGAATACTAAAGTGGGGAGGGGATAGGATGAGGAACAGGGCAGGACAAAACAGAGACGTTTTCAACCAGACACATTTATTTTTAAAATACATATTCTTCCCCAATATAAAAGGGGCAGTAAGGTTACCTCTGACCATATTTTTGAGGAAACCTAACAGTTTTACCAAAAGTAGTTCTGGAAATCGAGCTCTTGGAAGTGTCATAATTTTTAAGACTCCTCATTCCTGTGTCCTCCTCATTCATAGTCCAGAGTCAATATCTTTCTTTTACTTTCATGTAGGAACCACATTCCAATACATGTGACATCTAAGTAACCACAGATGCTCTAAAAATGAGAGTAATACCTTGAAGTACTCCACCAGACCTCGGCAGGTGATTTTATTCCCATTGATCTCTTTAATATCTAGGCTCTCAGGACTAAGTAGCCAAGGAATCAGTATTTTCAAGTTTTTGATGAATTCATCATCTATTTCTACAAGTAAAAGCAAATTCATCATTATTTAAAGATCCTATCCAGCTTTCATGGAACAGAATAAAAACATCTCTTCCTTAATTACTTCTATTCCCCCCTCCTCAAGTGATAATGCCATCTCTCATTTCCCATTATTTAAGCAACTGAAACCCCCTCTTCTCAGGGTGAGTGCTCTTGCTCAAATTTCTAATGCTGGTCTCTCTTATTTCCCCTTTAATTAAATATTTATCTTGTCATCTGCTTTTATAAGTTGACTTCCTTAATATTAAATGTTTATAACCCATTTAGGTAGCCATTTCATGTATTCTGATGTCATTAACTCTTGATTGTAGTTTTATAAATACAGGCTCTTAAGTGGAAAAAAGGAGATAGCCAGATAGTTGCAGATTAAAAGGTGTATTTCCTCCAGAAAATGTATAAAAAAATTGCTGTGCCACTCATGTTGTGAGATGTGTATAGAACTCAACTAGCAGTGATGTGAGTTCAAAAAGACTGTGATGGGAATCAGCAACACAAAAGAATAACAAGAAGAGGCAGATCCAGGCAGAAAAAAACAAGCCTACTGCCATCAAGTTCATTTTAACTCATAGTGACTTTCGAAGACAGAGTACAGCTACCCTGTAGGTTTTCCAAGGGTGTAAATTTTTATGGAAGCCAAATGCCCAAATGCTGCGTCTTTTTCCGGCAGACCAGCTGGTGGGTTCAAACAACTAATCCCTAGGATAGCATCCTTGTGATGTAGCCACTGTCCTGTCAAGGCTCCTTCAATCAGAGGTAGTTTGACTTATTTACCTATCATTTTTCGTATAAGACAACCTTGCTTATTGAAAGTGAGGAGGACTTGAAGTGTGTGATGCAGAAGATCAAAGACTACAGCCTTCAATACAGATTACATCTCAACATTAAGAAAACAAAATAATGCTCCCCACTGGGATAATAGGAAAATGATGCCAGATGAATAAAAGATTAAAATTGTCAATTATTTCATCTTTGAACCACAATAAACATCCTTGGTACTCTCAATCAAGAAATCAGAAGACAAATCACACTGGGAAAATCTCTGTCTGGGACCTCTCAAAAATACTAAAGAGAAATGATGTCAATTTAAAGACTAAGGTGGACCTCATCTGAACTATTGTCTTTTCAATTACTTGTCATGCATCTGAAAGTTGGCCACTGAAGAACTGATGCTTTTGAGTTGTGGTGTTGGAAAAGATCACTGTATATCCCAAGGACTGCCAAAAGAAAAAACAAGTCTGTCTTAGAGAGCATCGAGGGAGGCAAGAAAGTGATACTTTGTCTCACATATTTTGGGCATATCTAGGAGAGATCAGTCCTTGGAGAAGGATATCATGCTTAGGTGGAAGGTCATCATAGGAGAGGAGACCTCAACAAGGCAGTTGGATAGAGTCACCGTAACAGTGGGCACAAATATATCAGACATTGTGAGGATGGCACAGGATAGGACAAGGTTCAGAGTCAGTGTTCACAGGGTTGCTATGAGTGGGATTCAACTCAAGGGCATACAACAACAACCCAAATCATGTGATATCATTAGGTTCAAGCTCAAAAGAAAAGTCTTTAGGGTGGATTTTTTTTTCTTTTGAATAGGGTGGATTTTTTAACACAGTGATAATTTTTTAAATAAGAAAAATGTACACTATTTTTCTGTAAGACTGAATGTAAGGTACAAAATGTAAAATACCTTTTACAATAATATATGTGAAAAGCAAGCACAATGTCAGGTGCATTTGTTTTTAAGTAAAGGCAGAACTTCCTATAATGATACTTAAAAAAATGTAGAGTTCAGTATATTTACACAATGGAATACTATTCAGGAGCAATGATTAAAAAAAATAATAACTTGGGGGAGACTGGAGAGCATTTTTTATTATGCTGAGTAAACTAACTCAGTCTCATAAGGACAAATACTGCATAAAACCATTACTGTACAAATAGAAGTAGAATATGTATGGGGGAAGGGAGTAGGAGCAGAGGGGTGAAGATGAGTAGGGGTGAAATCACAGGGTTGTGCAATTTGTAGGTGGAGGGAGAGGGTAAAGGAAATGAGAAAGATCTGACAGGGACCTGAAAAGATAGGCTGATGATGAGCATAGTCCAATGGTAATTCATTTCATCCTAATGCATGGGAATGATTGTATGAAACACAGTGTGAATGAAGACTAATGTGAAACAATGTATATGAACTTTGTAAACAAACCAATATAAATTTTTTTAAAAAAAAATTCTATTCCAGCAGTGTCTTAAGTCTTCAGGATTTGGTACTAGTAATTTTTGAAGTTTAAAAAATAAAGATTAAAACTTAACTAAATTAGCAGCTTTCTATTTGTTCTTATAATATACACTGAAATACCACAGAATTTTTGTTTTCTCCTCTAACAACTTGCATAATAAATATGATGCTATAAATCCTTTAAACTTACTTTGTTTCATATTTGGTACCATTTTCAAATTTTACTGTCTGTGTTTTATGAATATACAAGTAGGAGGACCCCTCATTATTTAGTGTGTTATGGATCAGGCTGCTGACCAAAAGGTCGGCTATTCAAGTCCACTAGACATTCCATTAAAGGAAGATTTTTGCAGCCTCAGAAACCCAGTGGGTTTGGCTTTGGGTGTTTTAATAAAACTTTGTTGTGGTGGTGCTGTGTACTGTCAAGTCAGAACTGACCCGTAACTGACCCTCTAGCAGGTTTTCAGAGGTATTTAATCACACAGGAAGAGACTGTCATCTTTCTCCTGCCAAGCAGCTGGTGAATTCAAACTCTGTGCCTTTGGGATTGCAGTGCAGCCTCTTACTGCTAGGCCACTAAGTCTCCATAATACAAATTAATTTTTGTATGTATGCTTACATTGCAACAATTTTTACTGATAATGTTGTCTTATAACTGCAACAAATTTTACTGATAATTTTGAATATATCTGAGTATACTATTAATATTTTTTAACTGAAATACGATATTAGTATTTGTTTTCTGTTACTACATTTGTATTGTATCTGCCACGTACTGTGTATCTATTAATTAAATTTCTTTGATATAAATCATTGTATTCTGTTCAGAGTTAACAAAATATTAATACATATCTAGAACATTTAATCCTAAATTTCTGTACAATACATAATGTATTACATTTAAAAAAGAGAATGTTCCTTAAAGGTGGAATAAAACTTAAAAATATTAAAAAAGGTCAGGAGGCCTCCTGGTCTAATAGAGACTAGTGGAACCCCAACACTGTTTGCGCCTAAACCAAAACTCATCTCCATGGTTCAACTTCCAGCCCAACAATAAATTGGCCAGTAACTCTAGGGAGGCCCTCAGTTTTTAGAATACTCAACCATACAAGGCCAAAGAGCAGCAGCGGCCCACGGATAAAGTCCAGAATAAATCTGTATATAAATTAAAGTGACAGGGAGTTGGCAGGAAAGTGATTACATTGTGGATATTGTAATGTTAGAAAGTGAAATAGGTATGAATGGTTGAAAAACTATTTGCACTTTCATTCAAGTGTATTTTTTAAAAGAAAAATTCTTATCAAAATACATTAAAATAATTTTAAAACATGTAGTCTTTTTTCAAAATTACCTTATAAAATTGGAATGTGTCTAAGTGTGGAAAATTATTATAGCAACTATCACATAATCACACACTTGAATTAAAAATGTGTTCTGAATAGAATTTGTACAATATACTTAGTATTTCCCAACCCACTGTCATGGATTCAATTCCAGTCCTGTAGGATAGAGCAGACTTGCTCATATAGTCCTCAAAGCTGTAAATCTTTATGGAACTAGCCTGTCATCTTCTGTAAAGCAGCTGGTGGGTTTGAACTGCTGACATTTTGGTTAACAGCTAAATACTCTGACCACTATGCACTGGCTTCCTCATAAAGCAGCTGGTGGGTTTGAACTGCTGACATTTTGGTTAACAGCTAAATACTCTGACCACTATGCACTGGCTTCCTCAGTACCTAGCATTGGACATCATATAAAATCTGTTCTTTCAAGAATCAATGCCAAGTATTCCTATTTGCTGCATCTTGATGGCAGTCCTGATGGACACATAAGGGAAGTTGTCTGGTGTCGTGTTTGATGTGTATTACTTTCCCCCCCAAGAGTGAGTGTCCTTGGGCCTTTGCCTAGGATGGAGGTCTGCTGAAAGGTGTGGCTTTAAAATTCCATGGGGGTAAAGGCAGCCCTCCGGCCAAATTTATTAATTTTTGAATGAATATTCCTTAAATGATACAGCAATCATTTGTCTCTTTGCTGAACTGAACAACTTGGTGTTCCTGTGATCCTGCACACTGTTCCATAATCTTTCCAGATACCATAATGGTTACACATTATGTACAATGTTTGGACGAGTTTCCAGATTGATGTATGCTAGCAAGCAGGAGTGACATCCAGTTCCTAAACTAGATGCCTCTGGAAACTACAAAAATGTACAGAAATTGCGTTATAGAACAGAGTTCTGTACAGAAATTATGCATCTCTGGGGTTTTGCCTTATTTTTCTCCCTACCATTTAATCACCACCTAGATGACTATATATATAT